CAAAGTAGAACGGTTGTCATCATACAGTTCCCCCTAGCCTGTACCGTGGGAATTAAAATCTCCCATAATCAACCGTGGAGCAGGAAGTACTGAACAGATATCTGAAAGTTTTTTTGCGATTAACAACGGCTCTAGGAGGAATATAAACAGAAGCAATACAAAGGCTCTTACCTTTAATAATAGCCTGACATGCGACAACTTCAATACCTGGAAATTGTGGAAGATTCACTCTATAGAAGGAATGGCACTTTTTGATCCCCAAAAGTACCCCTCCTCCACGCGAATCCTCACGATCCAGTCGAATAATGTTAAAATCATAAAAAGGAAGAGAGCCAAGTTTCACAAACAGCAAATGCATCACAATCATTATTGTGAATTAAAAACTTAAAAGAATCTAATTTAGGAATGAGACTTCGACAATTCCACTGTAGAACAGTGATCAAATCCCCGACCTCGTTTGGAAAATTATCCATCGAAGGAAATGATTGCTGCAATGAGGGGCCACTTCAATGTCAATTGCTTCAAGAGGGTCTTCACAGAAGGAAGCATTGCCAGAACAATGCTTTTGAGAGGATCAGAAATATTGAGGTACTTGAGAATATCGTCCACAATTTTATCAAATGAGAACAACCCGGATGAAGAAGGGGCTTCTGTTCTTAAAAATGGGCCATCAGGGGTTTTTGATGTCCCCGGGAGAGATGGAAAATTCTGGTTATAGTCAGTTCTGCGGAAACCAGGAGGAGTTGAAACTTCCTTTTTTCCATCACTCCTTGATTTGGGCAAGCTGATTTGGGGTTCCTTATCTGCAACTTTCCGCGAACGGATGCGTTTTCGTTTCCGTGCAGAACCTTCCGGAAGACTGAAAGAAACTCCCTCCTCAGCCAAGTCAGAGTCAGACTCGTCATCAGACAAAACAGCAAAGGGATTTTTGTCGTTGGTTGATGGTGTGGCTGTTTTTAGTATTGCTGCAAAAGACTGCCTGGAACGCTCCTTAAGAGAGCGTTCTAGTTTTTCCCCGCGTTGTTTGTACGCCGGGCACGATGAGAGACCATGAGGAGTTCCCTTACAGTACACGCATTTTGGTGCAGTGACTGTGCAGGCGCCATCCTCGTGCTTCTCCCCGCATTTGGAACAGCGTGCCTTGCTGCCACAGTGAGAGGCCGTATGTCCCAACTGTTTGTAGTTTTGGCAGTTTATGACCCGAGGAACGAGTCTGTGGGGGTAAAGCTCTTTTTACCCTCGCTGAATGATACTGAGTTCAGCTTCTGGACTTCCAGTATCTCAACCGTGGGAAGCAAGGGGTTCTTGAAACGGCCAACCGCTTGCTTCGCCAAGATCTCGGGGGTCAGACTCGCTTCGGTGACCACACCTTCGATCTCCACATTACGAGCTGGGATGTACACTCTATACTCGAGTGTAAAGAGCTGGGAGGCAGCAATCTCGTTAGCTTGTTTCAGGTTAGAGACAACAACGCGAAGTTTATTGTACCTCACCTTCGAGATTTCGGCCACGGCCGAGAACCGCTTCGTCAGATAATGAGTAATTTGCATTACATTCAAAGGTTTCTTTTTGGGCTGAAAGTAAACAACCCATGGGCCAGTCGAGTCTTCTGGGTAGGCTCGCGATCGGGGGCTTATCTGTCCCTGTCCATTACCAGACTGAGATGACGAACCAGGGATGGCATCAACTGATTTCTGGGATGACAGACGTTTTCGACCCTTCTTGCTATCGTGTGGCAAAGTGGTGTCATCTTCTGACAAAACGTCCATTTCGTCTTCCGACAAAATGTCCATTTTGCCGTACTAGTGGGAGCGAAAAACGCTCTACCACTGCAACGATAATCAAAATTACTCTGACACAATACACGAGAAAAAAAAAATACTAACACAGAAACACAAACTTAAAAATTAACTGATGGGAGAAAGAAAGAATCAAGAACAAAAACTTATCTGATAATCCTATACTACTACCACCGAGCGTTTACACAGCAGCAGCGGAGCGACGCGCAGCTTGGATGATCTTCGATCCGCGTGTGCGGGCGGTCTTCGTTGGTGTGTGCTTGTATGAAGCTCGGCACTCAGCTGAACACACGATGATGGATGAGCGGTTTAAATGTGGAGGCAGATGCTGACACTCGATGACGATGATCCGTGTGCAGGTATGTGTTACCACGCACCGATGGTGCGCAAAATGGTTGGCGAATTGGCAATCGCAAAAACAATTTCCCTTCCGATGATGCCGAAAACACACTTTCTTCTCATAACAAAAAAACTCACTTTTTTATAAATTTATCGGGAATTATGCCAGGAATCACTAAGCGAGAAAAAACTGATTATTTACGTCAGATAATAGCGAGAAAACTTCCAAATTAACGGAGCGCGAAACAAGTCGACCGTACTTCTTGCTAGGACGCAGTGGGATGGTTACAATTATTTGACAACCGTTATAACATGTCCAGTCTGCACAGCGTTTTAAGCAGGATAGTGCAAGTTGGGGTTTAAGGTGATTTTTAGTGTGTTGGCAACATCATCAATCAAATAATATTTACGGCTCTAATAAGCTTTCAATATGAGAGCGTGTTAGTGGGAATCCGACGAAAATAAATAACAAATCGCTGTCAAACTCATTTTGACATATCTAATTCCATACATTTTTTAGATTAGTCAGAGGAAAATAAGAAACAACTTTACACGGCGATGCTCCCGCTAGTATGCCTGCATTTAACGTCACTAATCTCTATAGAGGACAAAAAGGTATCAAATTTCCTCATTGGGTTTAAAATGCCGAGAATCCTACCACGCTTGCTATGACGGGTCATGAAGTATATAAGCGTAAACTTGAAGAACTACAATGACACACATTTGCTTCGGCGCGGCCATCGATCTGTCTTTCCGTTGATTTACCGTTAAATCATGCTTCTTCCGATGAAGTGCCATGCCAATAAATAATATAAACATTGCCATCTGTCATCTGGTGTGTATTAAACTCTATTTACCCATAGATATTTACATACTTTTAGATGAATAGTTGTAAAGAATACTAAAGTCCATGTGACATATCGAAATTGAACGAAATTAAGTATGGCACCTTTCTAGATTACTATCATACGACCGATACAGTAATTATCTTAAATGTAAGTATCGATCAAAAAAGATTTTTAAATGTATACATCGAAATCAAGAAACTTAAAAGTGTAGAATTATTACCGATATCTTTATTCTTATCTAAAGAACTTTGAAGATGTTTCAAGAATGGTTGGTCTGGAGTGACCGTTTGCCGTAACGACCTTCGGTCTAATAATCCGGCATCGTGAATATTTCTTTTGTTAGTATATTTTGAGATGCAAATACAGAGAACTTTCGAGTTGAGGGAATGAAATCACAATGACAGAAGCCGTAAAATTAATTTTTACTATGGTTCTATAACTCGATATCGAGTTAGTGGACATCTAGTTGTGGAGAGTTAACTGCATTTTTTTTAGACCACAAATTTATATACCGCGTAATGGTAAACCGCGATATAGTATAAACCGCAAATATGATAACCGCGAAATGGTGCAGACCGCAAAACGGTAGCCCGCGAAATGTTTCATTACGGGTACGACTGAAAATCGTTGCAATATTTCTCGCTGGCATCACTGGCCTCGCTATGTCACTAATGTCGCTAATGACGTCGGAAGTCGCTAGTCTAGAGTAGTGCTCGCACCACTATAGAATCGTCCTATTTGAATCGCCCTATGGTGGTCCGCATCATCATTAATCTGGCAACACTAGTGAGTATCTTTCCATTGAGGTAAAGACCCAGATCAGCCCTGGGACCTTGTAGTATTCACACTGCCACAAAGTTTTGCCAGGAATTTAAAGTATTACGTGTATTCATATTCTTCTTACAGTCTGTCCTTATTAAACCTGTCCTGCAGTAATCATTGCTAGGGCAACCCAGAGTCCTTATTCTATTTCATCCTACTTATTCTGGGTTTTATACCCGTAATCTCGGCTTCAGTTTTCAGCAGAAACTGCGGTGACTGAACCGGGACCGGTCTGCTAAAATAAAATATTTAATCTGATTCGAGTACCCTACCCGGTGATAAACAACCAAACGCTGCCAGCATAAACACCGAGGAGGAAAATAAATGACAACCCACTTGATGATGATGGTGGTGGTGGCCATCGGTCGGTCGGTGGTACTAAGTACTCCGCTGTGCCAACGACGACGACCATCCAATTTGCAATCGTTTTTTTTCCCACGCACATCCGGCTGAAGCTTTTCCCGAAATTGCATTCATCCCTTTTTCTGAAATTGCTCTTTCCCGCCAAAAAATTACAACCAATTAAGGCGGCATTGTTCTACATTTTCACGACGCTGGGATTATCCGGCGTACTTAATCGAGGAATTTAAATTTCAGTCAATGAGTGCAATCGATTATTGAATGAGCAAAATGGTTAGGGATTGGTGCAATTTGGCATTGAGCTGGAATGGCATAAATCATCTCACTCGCGTTCGTGGTATGTATATTTATAGCCGCAGTCCAACCCCTAGGAAATTTTCTGCATTTTACGCTATTTTTCACGGGCGCGCGGAGGAACTCTTTACTGGCAAGTTTATTGCCGTCTGCTTTCACTTCCCCTCGGAGCTCGCCTCTCGTATACCTACAGCCGGAACTTGTTTATTAGCACCGAACACCATCAACCAATCCAAGAACAACAGGTTGCATTCGGTCTCGGTTGGTATTGTATGCAGGTTCGGTTCGTGTTGGAAAACACAATTAGGTTACAAAGGAAGCAAAATGAATTATGTCGAAATCGATAATAAAAACCATTTTCAATTGCAACTATTGTGCAACCTAGTTCTAGCTAAGGCCACAATCATACAGAATAGAAGGAAGTGTTTCATTCGCTAAACATTGGCAGTAACAGGAAATTTATTATCTCTCACAAACAAAGCAAATTGCTAGTGCTATATGTATCTAGGTATGCGGTGAAGGTCGCGGCTGCGAAGAAGGCCATTAGACAACTGCCGCACTCTGTTTAGTCAATGTTATTTTTCCAAGGGACGGGATTGATGAACATCTTGGAGATGGAACCCCGAAAGCTGTCGATTCCCTGGTTCAGTGGTACCGGTTTCGGCTTCGATGAAGACGACTTCAGCCAACCCTCGTAGAATAGCTTCGAAACATACTGCCGTTCCTGTTTGAGTTCTTCTTGCATTCGTTGCTCCGCTAGCTGGCGGAGTTTTCTATCTGAAATTGATGATGATGGTTGGATAAGCTTTTGACAAATATTCTTACAAATTCTATCTCACCTTCCTCCAGTTGCTTTACTCGATTCTTCCAAGCCTTGAAAGTTGTTTCACTTACTTCATTTGGTATCCACTTCTTCCTGACTTTCTCATTCCCGTTTTCTGCTTGGTTTTTCATCTTCTGCGTCTCCAGTTCCTTACGCTCCATCCATCGTTTCAACTTCTCTTCACTTTCCTGCCTTCGCTTTTCTTCTGCAAGTTTCTTCTTAATTTCATCGAGTTTCTTTCGCTTGAGTTCTTTCTCTTTTCGCTTGCACTCGGCTTCACTGTTGCACAAAAAAATATTGTTCTTTATCAATCACCGGAATGAAATGAAGTCTTCTTACTTTTTAGCCTCCAACCAATTTTGGTACGCTTCCGGGTCATATTCTTTACGTTTGGGTAAAAGTTTCGCAATAAGGGTGCTGCTACTTGAATCCGAGTTCTGAAAACATTCGGCATGTTAGAGGGAGTAGAAAACATTGACTAAAATTGAATGGTTGTATTACATAATCATCTCCAACCAGTCCACTCCATGATTTCAGAGTTCCATCGGTCAGGTTTGATACGATGGAACACGAATCAGTATCCTCTGCTTCACTTTCTTCCGAGCTGCTCCGATCCTTGGAGATGAATATGGCGTTGTTGACTCGACTGAAATGGAAAGTTCTACGACAGGTTTCGAATTTAAGTCAATTGAACTTACCGGATATTTTCATTGAAATCGCGATTGGATGACTGGAACAGGCTCTCCATTATGCTGTTGCGATTTAACTTTTGTCCACTTTACAGATGTTGAACAGTTTTGAAAAGTGTCTGGTTGAAAGTGATTGTTTTTCATAGCCTACTTTGCTTACGGATCCAACCTACATTATTTTAAACTACGCAAACATTATTGTAAATTACCCAGTTGAGTAAAAAAGTAACTCGATGTTGTTCAATCTTAAATTATTAGGTAAATTGTAGTATTTTGCAAATATATTAAAATTGAATTCAAACTACAATACTTAAGAAGAATGAAATTACTGTCAGTTTTTCATAGTCCAATCCAACCGTATTAAAAATCGCCTATCGATATACTTCTAAATAATAATGCATCAATCGAAATGAAATTTGCTTATGCAAATAAGATGTCACAAATTTGCAAATTTAAAAAATTAAATCGCGAAGAAGATTTTCTCGAAGTGAAGTGTGCGAATTTAAGCGAGGTCGTGAAGTAGTTTTTAAAGTAAGCTAGAAAAAGTAACATGGTTTCATTTCTTTCAATTAGTTCTTTCTATAGTCGTTCAATAGTGATTCATAATGTGTGCGTAGTAGACCGATGCAAAATATGAAATTTTCGCTCCACAGTGCTTAAACGGCTCCAAATTGGGTCCTGCTTAGCCTCCCAACATTTGAACTACTTTAGTAAGAAACTGACTTGGCACAAACCATTTCAAGTTTATATGGGAATTACTATGGGAAAACTTATGTTTTTGTTCATATCTATCTAACAATTCACCACATCAATATGCTTTTGAAAATGGTAGCAGTGATTGTAGTAAATTTTCTCAGCTACAATTTGGTTCAAAACCACTTTTCAATCAAATGTAAGGAACAAAAGTTATTAATGATACAAGTCACTGATGTCTTATGATTATGCTCATTTTACTGTTCAGCAGGCAACATTGGTGTTTCTGGCGCGAAGAATAGAGCACAAATATCATGGCTACTATGTCACACTGCAGAATACAGTGTTGCCCACAGAACAGCTGCCTGATCATGCCATAAGATTATCAATCTCTTAAACAATTAACAACAATTTAATTAGACATTTGGCTGAAAAACGATATTCGGCAAAGTTGTAGCTTAGGAAATTTCCCGTAAGAATAGTTATAGAAATTTTCGAAAAAAGCAATATGGAAAATGGGTAGAAGATAATGAACAAAAAGTTAAGTTTTCCCATAGTAATTTCTATACAAACTTCGAATAGCCAGTTTCTTACCAAATGAGTTTAAATGTTGGGAGGCTAATCAGGACCTGATTTGAAACCATTTGAGCACTGTGGAGCGAAAATTTCAAATTTTGCATCAGTCTGGGAATAGGTGGGTTCCGCTGTGTTTAGTTAATTGAGCTCAATCTGGCAGGATCGGTCCTAATTTCTTATCAAGTAATCTTCTTGGACTCGCTCTTTGTGGGAGTCTCATCCAGGCGAACATAACGCGACGTGCAGTCTCCGTAAGGAATGGCGCTTAAGCTGCTAGTTTTTGACGGACCGACCCGTGCCGGCTACAACTTTAAACAATACTATAACAGATATAGTGAAAGTGAAGGTGATACAATAGTAGTAGAATTAAAAGGGAAAACAACGTATTAAGGTATATAAGACATAAATTGGTCATGAGAAAAATCGCTTCAAAAATAATGCTGCAAAACAACCTTCCCTACCTTGATGGATATCATGTTGCCAACACATTGTCATCATTGAGCCATCGTATCTTGGCCACCTGCCTGCACCGGATGATAGTCAGGATCTGGGAAACAGAACAGCTACCGGAGGAGTGGAAGGAGGGGGTAATCTGCCCCATTCACAAGAAAGGCGACCATTTGGAATGTGAGAACTTCAGAGCGATCAACATTTTGAATGCCGCCTACAAAGTGCTATCCCAGATCATGTTCCGTCGTCTATCACCTAAAATGACCGAGTTCGTGGGAAGTTATCAAGCCGGCTTCATTGACGGCCGATCGACAAACGGACCAGATCTTCACCGTACGGCAAATCCTCCAGAAATGCCGTGAATACCAGGTCCCAACGCATCATTTGTTCATCGACTTTAAGGCGGCATACGACAGTATCGACCGCACAGAGCTATGGAAAATCATGGACGAGAACGGCTTTCCTGGGAAGCTGATCAGACTGATCAAAGCAACGATGGACGGTGTGCAAAACTGCGTAAGGGTTTCGGGTGAACTATCCAGTTCATTCGAATCGCGCCGGGGACTGCGCCAAGGTGACGGACTCTCATGCCTACTCTTCAACATTGCTCTAGAAGGTGTAATGCGACGAGCCGGGCTCAACAGCCGGGGTACGATTTTCACGAAATCCGGTCAATTTGTGTGCTTTGCGGACGACATGGACATTATCGCAAGAACATTTGGAACGGTGGCAGAACTATACACTCGCCTGAAACACGAAGCAGCATAGGTCGGATTGGTGGTGAGTGCGTCAAAAACAAAGTACATGCTAGTAGGCGGAACCGAACATGACAGGATTCGTCTAGGAAGTAATGTCACGATAGACGGGGATACTTTCGAGGTAGTGGAGGAATTCGTTTACCTTGGATCCTTAATGACGGCTGACAACAATGTGAGTCGTGAAATACGAAGGCGCATCATCAGTGGAAGTCGTGCCTACTACGGGCTCCAGAAGAAACTACGGTCAAAAAAGATTCACCCCCGGACCAAATGTACCATGTACAGAACGCTAATAAGACCGGTGGTCCTCTATGGACACGAGACATGGACTATGCTCGAGGAGGACCTGCAAGCACTCGGAGTTTTCGAGCGACGTGTGCTAAGGACGATCTTCGGCGGTGTGCAGGAGAACGGTGAGTGGCGGCGAAGAATGAACCACGAGCTAGCTGCACTCTACGGCGAACCCAGCATCCAGAAGGTGGCCAAAGCCGGAAGGATGCGGTGGGCAGGGCATGTTGCAAGAATGCCGCACAACAACTGTCGATGCAGGATTCGATGAGCTGCCCACCCTGTCAACCGACGTTTCCAAAGGCTGTTAAAGCGTCGCTGCAATAATATTGACAGACGTCAACGCTGGTGGCTCGAGCTGTCAACGGCAGCGACAGTGAAACGGGGAAGAATATTTCTTTTTGGATAAAAGTTCGCGGCGTGGTCGGTAGTGTTTCTTACCGCTACAGTTAAAATTATTTTACTGTTATATTACTTGTATTAGGGAGTGCTGGAGTTTATTAAAATCTAGTAAAGGAGGTAAAAAGTTCAAACTATTAAATCTAAACTTAAAACGAAACTAATTCTAAACTCCTAGGACCTAGAAGCTAACCTAAAACTTAAAGCGCAGGGAGAGGCCACACGCTACAAAGAATCACCAAATTTGTGAGTAAAATGAAAATTATTATAATGATGTATCTAATGAAATAAAATAATTGCAGTGAAGCAAACGTTAAAGCAAAAGGCTTTCAGAAACGATTCTATGACCTTTCCCCCACCTGCGCGGACAACAACCCTGCAAAGTTGGTGTTCGCTACTGATCGGGTTGGCACAAGAAGGCGTGGAGCGCAGAGAGCACGATGGGCGGACCAGGTAGAGCGTGATTTAGCGAGCATTGGGCATGACCGAGGATGGAGAGCGGCAGCCGCAAACCGAGTATTGTGGCGTACTATTGTTGATTATGTATTATCGAAGACAACAAATCAAGAAGACTGGCGACTCTTCCATTTTATCATACGAACGCTATGAAATAGGTACAATCGCGTCATCTGCCGCTCAAAGGTAAATGCTTCGAACGAATTTGATAGCAAAGATTACATCCTCAGACGAAGGGTTTGTGTATTTGCTCATTTTCTATGCGTTGCTTCCACCTTCACTCAAGCGCAGCGCTACTGTATCTGTCGCTTGGATTCTGGCAAAGTTGCCAGTCTTCTTGATTTGTTGTCTTCGGTATTATCTTAAATGTGATGTTGTACAAATAAATGTAATGTATCTAGGCTTCATTTTGAATTGAGCAATTTTCTGATATAAAGAAGTCAGTTTGATTTTGCACAAAGCCGTTTTTCAGTTTTTGGTCAGCAAATGGTTTTCTTTTCTTTTGACCGAAGTAAAAAAGGTTGCTAAATACGAAAGTCATGACCACAATATCAGCTTCAATCGACAACATTGATGCGACGAAGGGACTGCTAGCTTTATTTTTCTGTTGAAGTCGAGTAGCTTCGCAGCATTTTATCACCTCAGTCGGCGTCTACAAACAAATTTTCAATCGTTTGTCTCCCTTTCTCCCGTCGCTTCATTCGTCTTTCTTTCAAGCTTCAGTGAAACGGACGAGTGAAAGAGCGCTCGACTTTGATAGTTTCGTCTTTCATGAAACACATCAACAAGAAGAGTACACGTAAAGGCCTGTATAGAGATCGAAGCGAAACGATAATCTCATACAAAATACTAAATTTTTCACCAGCGTGAAAAACGCAATTGGCAAATTCTTCACTTCGCTTTGAACTGTAAACAGATACGAACCAGCGAAATCTAATGTTGTGGATCGCATTTTTTTCGCTTACGTTAATTTTTTTTCGCGCATGCAGCGCTCGCGAAAAGAGCAGCAGCTAAGCGAAAAGTTGACGTTTCGGGAGAGCGTATCTGTCAGATTTTCACTTCACCGGAGGTGTAAACTGATCGATTTCGTTTCACATGAACTGTAAACTGCGAAAAAAGGAAACTGCAAAATGTTCCACACACATTTTTTCACAACCTTTTTCGCTAGCGAAATTTCATGATTTTTCGCGTGCTTCAAAT